CTGATAAGCCTGTTACTGGAGCAATAATCTCGCCCAGAGTCTTCTTCAAATCTTCTTTTTCAATTTCAGGCACTCCCTGAAATCTAAGAGTCATATTAGCTTTTTCCATTTGAAGCTGTAACAAACGAGTTTCCTGAAGGTTTTGTGTTGTTTCCACATCTGTCACTCCTTTCTTCACTTTCTTATTTGCGGTGTCCATTTCTGTAATTTTTTCAGTAGCTTGCTCCACTTTCTTCTCCGTTTCTGCCAGCTGGCGCTGCTGTTGAGCAAAGTTTTGATTTAATGTAGCCAGTTGCTGGTTAATACCACCGAGTTGTTCCATTACCGGCTTCAGCATATCCGCTAGCAACTTCATGACGTCTGCTCCCTCTTCCGGTCTTGGACTCTGACTGCCTGGTTTCGGTTTAAACTTTCCTCGGGAAGCCGCCATGTTCCCTCTTTGTTTACAATTTCAAACTGCTTTGTCAGGGCTCGAAAGACTCGTCTTTTCGCTATCGGTACTCAAGTAAGTCTCTCAATATAGTCTTGCTGTTTGTTTCCCAGCCCTACCCCCTTCGCTGCATTGATCTGTCTCTGCGTTCAAGAGGCGTCCCTCCTTGCACCCTGCTTTTCCCACGGGGGGAGGGGTACTCTGTTTTATCAAAATAGTCCGTTTACTTCGAACTCAGGTTCATTGTTGGTCCTTTCGCAGACCTCGCTCTCTCATTCGTTGTTCCGCTCGATCTCCTGCGCTTGTCCCGGTCGAATTAGTTTATACCATATGGTCACTCAGCGGTAGGACCGTCAGGGCGGAGGGAAGCCTCTATTCTCCGGCATCGAGCCGTCGAAGAGGCTAACCCTCAGAAGCCCCCTGGCCTGGAACCCATCGCAAGGGCTCCGTGGGGGTGCCGCTTGAGGCAGCACCCCTCCTTGCCGCTGGTGTGCCAATCGCCTCCCCACGAACTGGGGAGAGCGACCGCCATTGCCAATCCACCAACCGGAAGTCGTTGTTCTTCAGACTTGATACAGGCAATATGGTGAGTCTGAATACTGTTTTTAGGTTGTGTTTTTTCATAAGTTTTCCCATCTGATCAGTGATTCCTTTGATACATGGCAAAAACACTTTTCCTGTGGGAGACTGTTTTTCTTCAGCTATTTGTTTTACCTTTGGGTTAATCGCTCTTCTGATTTCATTCTTGGAGTAGCCATTTGCTTGAAGTGCGTGGTTTAGATGGTTTAGTTCATTGTTGAGAAAGTGCGGTTCACATATCCGTCTTGCATGGTCTACTAATGTTTTGATTGTGCCTCTTTTTTCCGAGGGTGGTGATTTGAGTTTTTGTGTAAATAACGATCCATGTGAGTTGGTTTTCTGTAGACCTTGTGACCTAATTGAAGGTTAGCTCTGCGGATGACCGTGATATCTAGAAATGGGAGTTTACCCTCGATTTCTTTTTCCATGGTGAATTGTATGTTCAGGTGGATGTTGTTGAGGTGGTCTAAGAATTTCAACAGCCAATCCATATGCAAAAGAACCTCCTCGGGAAAGCTCCTCTATTAGCATGTCACAGCCTGGGGGACTCCTACAAGACAATGACTCAGCCCTACCCTACCTAACTGAGTATATATAAATTACTTGCCTACCATTTTTCTTCTCACATTGACACAGAGAGTACCCCATCTTTCTGGGTTATACCTCTGAGAATGCCAGTCACAGCTGCTGGTGAAACATCAGGTACTACAATGCCAAGACCATGGCCATACAGCCTGGAAAATCTACAGCAACTAACTGATCCAGGCAGTGAATAATGGGTTAGATCCACCCAGCTTTTAAAACTCAATCTCACCCAGTTCCCCTCCATACTACAGCCTCCATTCCAGATGGCTTTTTATGTATGCAGTTCCCATTATTTTCAGCATAGCTTTTTTTGGTCGTCAAAGAGAAGATGGCTTCTTCCTTTTTTACCAGCCAAAAACGTGATCGGACCAATTCCACATGTTTCACGCATATTGACGCAGGGTCCCCTGTGCATCCGTGTTTTTCATGAGAAAATGGAGCCTTGATGAATCTGGAACTCAAAGAAAAAGTTCATCCAAGCAAACTGGGGCCTCCATTTCCAGTGCAAATGTCAACAACAAAAAGAAAAAGACAAAAGAAGAAATTGTTGCATGTACAGAATAAGCCTTTAAAGAAACATTCCTCACCAACAATAGGAAAAGGATTGTCCCCATCAATAAGGCCCTTTTAGAGTTCATGACATGCTGTGCACACATGTGACCAGATAGCCTATGATATCATTCCCACAAATTTGTAGTTCAGTGGGTAGGCTAGGGAGCTTTTTTTGCTTTTCATTGAAGAAATTCCTACCTGTGCAATTTTCGTAGTTCCACCATTCAAAAGAATATGCCTATCAAAGCGATTATGACTGACTTTGATGAAATTGCCCAGATTCTGAAGCTTTTTCAGGGATAAGAAGAAGATAAGGCATCCTTTGATCCAAATCAAAACAGATGCGATTATATTAGAAGTCTGTCTCTGTTATTTTGTGTTAAGAAGGCAATGTGCCATGAAAGCTGATTATGTTGATAACAGCAGTCCGAGCTTAACCTTTCGAAGATTGTATTATTCAAAGAACTGTAGGTGCTTTTGACTTTTCAGTGGAATTTGCAGTGTCTGATACTTGTAACAATCAGAACAGTATTTAGGCCAGACTAGATATTGCTCAGCACACGGATATAACATTTTCCTGATGGGGCTTTAGTTTTTAAAAGATGCAGCTGAGTTTGAGCAGGGGAACAAAAATTCCACACCCCTACTCCAAGCTGCTTTCCTAGCCGCAGGGGAAAATACATCCCTCCAATTAATTCATATAATCATCAAGTTCCTAATCAGGTTACTGTTTAAGTTGGTGCTTGGCTTTAAAAGGAGATTACACAGATTTATGGAGGATATGTCCTTAAGTGGACACTAGCATGATGACTAAAGAGAATCTCCACATACCTCTGAATGCCCATGCTAGAAGGGAAGGCCCTGTCTGTTGGCCCTAGAGGGCAGCTGGTTGGCCATTGTATGAACCAGGATGCTAGAGTAGGTGGACCACTGGTTCAGTTTCTTATGTTCTTTGATGTATATGATAAAGCTCTCTGCTGCACCATGGCTCAAAAAAAAGAATACGTAGTAGCTTACCGATTTGGACACTTCCAACGAGACATGGCAGTGAGAGATACATAAAGGTGGGGTTTGGATGCATAGCATAGAGAATGAGCATAGACATCCTTGAGTAACCTGAGCATAGTTTGATTTGGGGAAACCATTGACCTCTGTCTGATCAGTCTGTTGGGTGGGGCCAGCCATGTTCCCAGTGGCATAATATGGTGGGTGGGACTGGTTGTGATTAATGTTGCATGCCGTAAAACTGGCAGTTTAACGGTGTTGACATGCACTTGACACTATGCCTATGGTTGCCATGCACCACAAAAGGTGGGCTGGAGTGAATAAGGTGTATCTCATCAAGGTGCCTAGAAAGCAGACATGGATGACACATGCAAATACCCAAGTCATGGGTTAATTTCTCATTGGTCCATAACCAGATTATCAATATGTTTGCATTAACAGCTGTCCTGCTAACAGTCTGTTGCATGAGGAGGAGGAAGAAGACGTCTAACCCAGAAACTAACCTGAGCTACTGGAACAATGCTATCACCATGGACTACTTCAACAGGCATGCAGTAGAGTTGCCAAGAGAGATCCAGTCCCTTGAAACGTCAGAGGTAATATGAAAAACCTGCTGGTAAAAAAATTGTCTGGTTAGTTCAAATGTGGATTTCAGCCATTTTCCTCTTGACCTTCGCTTCTCTTAGCCAGCCCAGAGTGGTATCATGATGGGAGAGGCAAAAGTGCAGAAATCTTTTCCAGTTATATGCCTTGCAAATATATGTTTCCCTTTATTATCTGACCCTGAGCCTCTAAAGCTCCCTTCCCATCCACTTCCTTTCTGCCACCAGCATATGGAACTGACAGGTTTACTTTTTCTTGTTTCAAAAAATTCATGTGTTTTCACTGCCTTCTTTATTACACATATTCATTTTTATTTCATTAGTTTCCATTCCCATTGAAATGGATGCAAATTTTATTTATTTATTTTACAAAATTTATGCCTTGCCTTTCTGCCCTGATAAGGGCCACCAATGATCACCAAATTATCATCTATTCCTCCCCCTTCCCCTCCAAGTGCATTGGCTGGTATTTACTGATTTACTCTTGTGAAGGAACAGACTTGCAATCCCTGTTCCCCCAGGTAAAAAAAAACTTTCCCTTACTCCTGGGAGGGACCAGCTTCTCTCTGGACAGTAACCATGGCCACTAACAAATTTGAAAAAAATACTTTCTGCTAAATAGATTTGTACATCTATCACTCTGTTTCTGTGTCGCCATTTAGAGAGACTGCCTAGTTGCTGAATCTTCTGCTTTGTTCATACTAGCTAGTACAGGGACAATGTACCATGCTTTAGAAATGGTGAGCTTAACTGCTGCCCCTTCCTGTTATTGCTCTTTTGGAAAAAAGACTAAATAGTTGTAGAGATTAGGCTTTGAACCTTCAAAATATAAGGAAGTTTAATAAACAAAAATAGAGTATACATGGTCTGTTCAAGCATCAGGCTGAGCAAGGATACAAAGAAAAGGTGAAAACATGCACTCCTCTTATCCTAAACTCTATATTTATCCTAATAATATTGTTGCTAGGATAGGATAGGAAACTTTGAGATTGCAACATTAAAAAGCCCATCATTACCTGAGTTCTCAGAGATGGGGCTTCTTCCATTGTCCTTTGACACATAGTTAAGGTGGATTCCTTTGTAACGGTTTAGTCTTTCACAGATTGTACTTCCCTGGCCAAAAGTCGAAAGAGAAAAGAGCTTCTTCCTTGTGTCCTGAGAATTCATAATCTCCTCTTTGAGAATCCATTCACTTTTGGGGTTAGTCCTGATCTGCTTGCCCCAAGAGGAAGAATTACTACCTAGCCTTCTTGCTGTCCCATTCTCTGTCCTATTAAGCGTGACATTCCAGCAAGGTGTGAGAAAGTAACATTTTTGTTCTGTTTCAGCCATAGCTATTTGCATAACTATGCTCTGTGTTTGGGAAAGAGATTGCTCATCTCTTGTAGTTTCCCCCAGCTGTGAGCATGCAGCGGGTTCCATCTCACAGATTGAATTATGGGGATGAATTTTAGCGGGAAGGGCATTTCTCCATAGTGTCTATTTCTACTGCATTTTAAAATCAAAATGCCAAGGGTGACTTCCAAGATTAAAATATATAACATTCAAAGCAAAAACACACACATACACACAAAGCAAATCAGAGAATCTCAAACCGATATCGAAAATGATAAAACTTCCACCACATATCAAATCAAGAAGAACAGCAATACAAGCAAGTTAATAAAAATGGGGCTGTCTCGTTTTTTTAGTTTGGTCGGCAATGACTGCAAATCCCTCCTGGGGCAGCTTTGTCTCCCTAGAGCCAATGTGAGGCTACGCCCCAGCTCCACTTTCACCTTGGCTTTTCTTCCATAATATTGTGTGGTCACTCATCTTCCCCCCCAAGGGATAGCTATTTTCTGTACCTAAACCTTCCTCAGAGTTTGCTTCTCAATCCACAATTTTTTCTCCCCTTTTCTCATCTACCCCATTTCAGGTGGTTCCCAGCCACATAACTAATCCACCTCCTGAGCCTTTTCCTAAAACTTTTTTATTATTATTTTAGTAATTCAGTGATGCAAAATACAAGATGAGAAAAATTCTCACTGAGCCTCCCCTTCCTGCCCACAGAGCTCACCTTATCCCAGGCACTGTGTTTCTCCAGCCACACTGAGTTTTTACTTTCTTCACAGAAGCTGGCCTGTTTATGAACATCCTGTTGTTGAAAAATCCCTTGGTAGCTAGAATATTCATGAATACTCTGTGACATCACCACAGAGTAGAGGTTCAGTTAAATTTTTTCCCTTTGCCACAGTATTTTCATGCAAGAAGATTCAAATTAACCCTTCCAATAAAGTACAAAGGGGCTGCCATTCTTCTGGGGACTAGTAACCCGGCAGAATATGGTGTTGACTGCACAACCCTTCACTGTCAACAAATAGCACAATTTAATCAAAGCAAGAGTACAATTCACAATGGTAAATCGTCTTTAGTCTGAGTAGCAGAGTGAGATTGAATCATCCATGTAATTGTTGCAATTATTAAAAGGAACATTCCTGTCAAATATTGTGGATAAATTCAGTTTGGTAGTTAAAAAAATTATATCAGTGATGCCTTTGTATTTAATTAGTTAAATTGGTAAGTTAATTCAGTATATTGTCCTGTTGCTTTTCACTTAGAAAAGACATTTAGGCCAAGGCTCTGTGTGCTGGTTTTAATTTGATCTAGCTTGATTTACATTTGCCTCTCTGCATTTGATCATTTTTGGAGGTGGGGAGGGAGTACTATTGTCCTTGTTCCAATCACACCACCATTTAGCACGGCGCAAATTACATCAGCATAAAAATAAGTAATAAAAAGCATAAAAGTACGTTTTTTTGCCCTACCCTCTTACTAGATATGCAGAAGGTGGCCGTGCTGTAGCCTGAACACCAACTGTAATCCTTCTGAAAGAACCCTGCAACAAAATTCACAAATGCATTCACCACATTGCACTTTTGACTTTTGTGTTACGTTTTAATAAGCTGTAACAAATGTTCGATCCTCACAAATGCCCTTGCAGTTAGGCCCAGGAGAGACTCTTCAACTATGACGTCGTGGTGTGAAATAGCATACTATTTCTTCGTTTTGTTTTAAAGAATGAATTGGGAAGGAAAATATAAGTACACATTTCCTAAGGTGCACACGGAGCTGTATGTTGTCCGGGCGGGGTTGACATCTGGAATCCCTGAGCACCAATCGTTCCTAGTTCTGTTTTGCTTCAGTTTATTTTCTCTGTTTTTCTCAAAGATGCGCTGCTCCGTTAGGAACCTTTTGCCCCATATTAGGCACAGTTCACTGAGCCTGACTTCCATCTAAGCACCACTGAAAGGATCAGGCCCTGTGAAGGAGCAGTGATCAGTAGGCTGTACCCAAATCCCAACCCATTTCTAATTCAACGACCCTATAACCTCTTTGTACAGCCCAGGTGCATATACACAACCCCTCTGTACTGAGCATGATGTGACAGAATGTCTCCAGCTTAATCTCCCTCTCTCTCTCTCTCTGTTTCTCCCCCTCCCCTGCTTCTCTTAGGACCACCTGTCTGAGCCACGCTCCCCAGCCAATGGCGATTACAGAGACACCGGCATGGTCCTTGTTAACCCCTTCTGTCAAGAAACACTATTTGTAGGACATGAGCAAGTGTCTGAAATATGACACCGTCCTTGTACTAGCAGCCCCATCTTTATTGTATTCAAATTATAAATATAAATCTATATATTATAAATATAACCTTTGCGTAACCCTGAATAATGGAAAAAAACATTTTCAGCTCTTTTTTTTTTTTTTGCTTAAGAATTATGAACCTCTTTTTTATAAGTGTGGTTAAAAACTTTACAGACCAAATGTCAGCTTTATAAAATAAAGGCTATTTCTAAGGAAAAACTCCTGCCGAAACAAATGTCTTCTGTCACCTGTCCCAAATGCTTATTCCATGTAACCGAGCCAGATTTCTTTTTTTTAAAAAAAGCAGTTCTTTCTGCCTGCCCCCCCCCCCCCCCCACTGCCATACCACAAGCCTATTTCGCAAGACTGAGCAAGCGCAGAAGCCACTGCTGATATCCTAGGATACGGCCTAGCATTCTTTTGGGCTGAGCCATGAAACAAAACAGCTATCCCTCTTCCCCTCACACAATGTGCTGTGGCTAAACTGGTTGCTGACTGAGCATTCTTTGTGTATTAAGAGCTTGGCCCGGCAGCCGGGCAAGAATCCACTTCCCTGTTGAATGTGGAAATAGGCAGTCGGACCCGGGGACTATTTGAGGTGCTCCAGTTTGCAAGCATCTGTCAGCAAGGCATGATGCGACTGTGTGGCTGACCTTCCCAAAGATTCTCAAATTTCTGATTTGCCTGCTTTGTACAATAGTCCTAATTCTAAAAGAACGTCCCAGTTGTTTGAATTATTATGAATATTAAGCTGATTTTTTTCTCTCGCTGTGGCCCCTGAACTCCTCTCTACCAATCCCGGACACAGCAAAACTAATTACATTCTTTTGATAACTTGGATTACTTGTGCAGTTAACTTCGTCGACAGGGACAGGGAGCTATGATGTTCCCGATTCTGCTGATAATTTTTTTAAATTTATTTATTAAGATTTATACCCCGCCCTCCCCGCAGAGCGGGCTCAGGGCGGCTTACAAGGGGCAAAGCCCATATAAAGCAGATAAAAGCAATAAAACATTCATGACAGTTAATAAAATTATACTCAATTTAACAAGATGGTCTCCAGATGGTTCTCCAGGGTGATGTTATCCTATAGCTCAACCAGGTAAATCCAGTGGCCACGCAGAAATTGTGGCAGATCTTCCTGGGCCATCCTTACCCCTCTCCTCCGGGAGCTCGTTCCACCAGGTAGGGGTCACCACTGAAAAGGATCTGGTCCTAGTCGTGGCAAGCCTTGCCTCCCGGAGGCCTGGAACCACCAGGCGATGTTGTGCCCCGGACCGAAGTGCTCTTGGTGGTATATATGGGGAAAGGCGGTCCCTCAGGTAAGTCGGACCCCGGCCATAAAGGGCTTTAAAGGTAAGTACCAGCACTTTGAAGCGGATTCTGTATGCTATTGGCAGCCAGTGCAGCGCTTTCAGTCCAGGCTGGATGTGCTAATAATTTCTATTAGCAAATGCGACAGAGGCATTTAAAGAGGTAGAGCTTCGCCATGCTCATTATGTTTACTTTGTAATAACCTCCTGAAATTAAAAAATAACTGTTATCCCCATTTTACAGATGGGAATGGAGCAGAGAAGGAGTAAGTCACCCACACAATGCGTCCCGTGGTTCAGCTGAAACACAAGCCCTTCTGTCTGCTTCAGCACACAGACCTATTGTGTCTCAGTAGGTGGGGAAACAGACAGCAGGGCTTGCAACATCTGTCCCTAGCAAAAATAAGAAACAGCTCCTATGGCCCATGCCCCCACAGTTTCTTCAGTGCATTGATTCTTAAGTGATGGTTTGGAACCTCAAAGTAGGTCACAAGAGACCCTCTGACGAACTGCCAAGTTTTGCTATTCTTGTCCTCTGGGATGAACATAGCAGCAATTATCACTAGGAAAGTGCGAAGCACTTACAGCAGCAAAATTGTCTCTCCTTCAGAATGTAATGAGAGAGAGAAGCCCTTTCATGTCTGGTTTGCTGACAAAGAAACCCAAGATTCTGGGCCCCCCCCACCCCTCCCCGCTTGTTAGTATTCCTCTTTTGTGGTTCTGAAGATATGTTTGATATGTGCCTAGCATTCTGTGCTGCAGCATCCATAGCGGGTACATACATCAGAAAATAGCCCTTGCAGTCATTTAAGATGCCACAGGGCCAATTCATTTTTTAACAGCCTTGCACCGACCAGATAGCTTGAGGAAATGATTTGGTACACTTGAAAGTGTTTTGGACGTTCAGACCACCTGAGCAATTCTCTCAGAACTGATCCTATGGATCTTGCCAGGAATGTAGCCTCAGCTCCATAAAGTAGGCTAGTGTTCCTATCCCCCTTTTCACAGATGGGCTGATACAAGAACAGTGATTTGCCTGCAGCTACCTAGTGAGGAAATGTAAAGCTGGGGTCACAGCTGATGGGCGTACAAGGCTGAAGTTGGTTCCCAGTTCCTTATTCACATTTCCTAGTTCCTTATTTGTGAATGCAACCACAAATATTGAGGATAATTTAAAAGTTTAGCACAAGCTGTGCATCCCAAAATAAAGTTTGGACCACCAACCTATATTATACTCCCCTGCATACAGGGGACTCTGCCCTCCAAGTGAATTTATGCTGTTTCATGATCCAAAGCCCAGTTCTGGTGCTAACTACTCCAGTTTCCCCATCATGGTCTGCATGCATATTTGTTATCGGGAGTCCCACTTTGGAGCAGTTAGCACTAGAACTAGGCTTTGGACCTGGAAACAACATAGCTCTACTTGGAGGGCAGAGCTCCTTGACTGCAGGGGTGTATGATATGTGGTGGCCCAAAACTTATGGGGGGGGGCAGAGAGTATGCAGCTGTGCTAGTTCCTTATTCAAATCTTCCTGATACCAGCTTCTTGGAAGCAAGCCAAATAGAAGCTCTTGGGCCAGAACCAGTATTTGGACCAGGCACCAGTGCATTCTGTCTTGTAGGAGACAGTCCCCTGAGTGTGCAGATATAAGAACACAAGAGAAGCCAATGTTGGATCAGGCCAATGGCCCATCCAGTCCAAAAATACCAGGTGCCATCAGGAGGTCCAGCAGTGGGGCCAGAACACTAGAAGCTCTCCCACTCTTGCCCCCCCCCCAAGCACCAAGGATACCGAGCATCCCTTGCCCCAGACCGAGAGTTCCTATCTATACCTTGTGGCTAATAGCCACTGATGGATCTCTGCTCCATATGTTTATCTAATTCCCTCTTGAAGCTGCCCATGCTTGTAGCCGCCACCACCTCATGTGGAAGTGAATTCCATGTGTTCATCACTCTTTGGGTGAAGAAGTACTTCCTTTTATCTGTTCTAACCAGACTTCTCAGCATTTAAGTGTTAATTTGCCACCTTAATTAAAAAAAGAAAAGCGCCGGGAATTTACAAATTGCTGCAAATTTTGGGAAGGAGAGGTGGTTTGCCAATGTCACAAGCGCTAGACAATCAGCACTGTCCACAGCTGGCTTCTGCTGCAGCCTTCCTGAACCACTTTTCCTTAAGCGAAACCCTGGAGATAAAATGGCTGGTTAGTTCTGAACACAACAGTAAGTATGTTTCCAGAGCATCCCCATCATTCAAATAATGGTACGTCTGTAGGCACTCAAAGAAATGAATGCTAGTTTCTGAGCATCTCACAATGCAGTATGCTTCCAGCTGTTATTCTTCCTTTCCAAACTGTGCATTAATGTGTCAAGAGCTTTTTGGCATTAATGTTCACACTGAGTGGCATAAGCAGTTTTACTCAGTTAAGCAAGCTCCTTCTGAGGATAAGGTGTGTCTCAATTAACTGGGCTCCTGCTAGTACAAGTAAGCCCTTGCATGTGGAAGTCTAGAGAATACCAGCATTTAAATATGTAAGGAATTCTTTTTTCCCCTCCTATTGTGCCTGCATACTACATTGACCTTTCCATGTGCTGCACTTGCAGCAGACAGATTTCTCATGAAATAGATTGCTGAGCCAGGGAAAAGCCCCCACACAATCATTCCGACAAACACGCCGATGGTGGCCGCCCAAAGACAATGAGAAATGTCCCAGAAGCTCTTGGGACAGAGTGCAAATAACACCCCTCCCTTCCCCAATCCTGCTTGGCTCTGCAGATCTCAGCCGGCTGAGGGGCAGTGAGGGGAGAAGCGACACATTGGAGGTTGACGGTTTGAGCGGCAGCATGCCCTTACCAAGGCGTAGAGCTTCCTTTTTGGGACAACAGCCCTCTACTTCCACAGCAGAAAGCTTGGGGGCCACCAGTCGTAGAATTAGCGTTGGCGGAGGAGGGAGCTTGTCGAGACCCCCAGGGGTCTATGTGGGCATCGTACCTACGGGAGGCGTGAGCAGTTTAGGCACCCGGGTGTCCCGCAGAGCTCTGGGCATAAGCAGTGTCTTCCTACAAGGCCTCCGTAGCTCCTGTACAACGGTGCCATTACCCCAAGGGCTGGAAAGGGGACGAGGCCTATCTCACGAGAGCCTGAATGGGTGCCTGGTAGATTACATTGAGAAGGTGAGAGCTTTAGAGCAGGTGAACCAGGAACTCGAGGAACGCATCCGCGTTTACCTGAACAAGAAGTCCTCCAGCGCCAGTAACTGGGGAGCCCTGAGAGAGAGCTGGGAAAGCATCTACCACCAAGTGAGTATGAGACCCCCCCCCTTTTTTGATGATGAAAACGAATGAATCATTAACCAAAGAAAGAGTTTTCCGATACTGACAATTAAACACAGCCTGATGCTAATGTATGGCTACCCTGCGTGGTGTATTTTACATTTAATCTTCATGATAATTAGCATTATCATTTCACAGTGTGTGCAGTGGAAAAAATTGTATTATAGATGAGATTTGCCTTAGGAGGTTTATGGGCAGGAGAGGAAAAAGCTCTCCTATGTTTGGCCCGATTATAATCAGTTATTTCTCCTTGGAGCAGTTGTTATGATTAGGAGCAAAATTATTCAGAGGAATGCTGCCAGAAATGGAGTGCGTTTATGCACTAGCATTATCTCATTACCAGCTTGATAGTGTTTGTAACGAGGGGAGTGAGATTTGAGAAGTCTTTCTGTGAATCGCATTTTCGAAAAGCCCTGTTTATTTTTCCAAGAATAAGCTGTGACAAAGATACGTTTCTACTATGTCCCCTGCACACAACCCGGCTTTAAAAATCAAGGTAAATGTACACTTTCGGATCGCATTTCTACAGAAACAGACGGGGTGCCGCATCTCCCGCTGAACGGCTGGGAACACTGTGGCCCATTTACAAAACTAAAACTTGTGAAAATCCAGCACAATACTATATGCAACTTTTATCCATGCGCAAGAGGTGAAATGACAGTGCAAAAATAAATGCTTATATTGCAATCCTGTGTACCACTAGGAAGGGCTGTTAATTTATAGGATGAGGACACTGACATCCCAACACTGACCCACTCGTTGATGAGATACTAGATGTGTGATAGCTTCCCTCACACTTTACTTAGATATTTATACCCCACTTCTCTCCACAGTGGGGACTCAAACTGGCTTACAATATTGTTCTCCCCTCCTACACTTTATCCCAACAATAATCGTGTGTGTGACTGGCCCAAGGTCACCCAAGTGAGCTTCCAGGAGAGAATGGGGTTTGAACCAGGTCTCCCAGATATTAGTCCAACACTTTAACCGCTACCTTACGCTAGCTCTTTTCGGGTCTTATAGGCCCACTGAAGTCATGGATCCTTACATCGTAACTATATCCAATTCTCAACATGGCTGCAGTTGTGGTGGTGGTGGTGGAAAGCGCCATCAAGTCACAGCTGACTCATGACAACTCCATGGGGCAAGAGACGTTTCAGAGGTTGTTGGCCATGGCCTGCCTCTCCGTCACAACCCTGACATTTCTTGGAGGTCTCCCCATCCAAATACTTGCCAGGGTCTGCCTTGCTTAGCTCCCAAGATCTGATGAGATCGGGTTAGCCTGGGCTATCCAGGTCAGGGCAAATACTTAAATCCACAGGCTGGGGCCATGAACAGAGAAAGGAGATATTTCTGCAAATTCCCCAGGTTTGCAGAAGAATACAGAAACTTTTAAAAAGAAGGGTGAAAATTTTCCTTGAAACAAAAGAACATTGTCTATGCTTGCACAGGCAACGCTTCTCCACCAGCCTGGCAGCCTCCACCCTCCTAGCCATATGTGGGAGCCAGTGGAGGAAAGGAAGCAGCCGCTGGAGCCACATGGGGGGGGGAGCTGCTGCCAGGTGGGCTGGGCAGTGGTTGGGCAGAGTGGGGAGGGGACAAGCAAGCGAGATCCCCCCTCCTCATGAGTTTGCCTGGGTGGTTAGGAGCAGTGTTCCCTCTAAGCGTGAGCTAGCTCACAGTTTTTTAGCCTCTGGCTCACAGATTTTTGTCTTCGCTCAGGAAGAATAGCTCCAGAGCAAACTAATTTATGCAGTGGCCAAATGGCTCGCTCACAACTTTAATGCCAGCAGCTCACAAAGTAGAATTTTTGCTCACAAGACTCCACAGCTTAGAGGTAGCATTGGTTAGGAGCCCAAGCCACTGCATCAGCTGGGGCTGCAGAAGTGGTGGAGCTGGGGGCAAACGAGCAGGCAGACAAGCGGAGCGGTGGGGGTGGGAGATAGACTGAATGGTGCAGCAGCAGAGCGCCACTGGGATCCCCCCCTCCCCCGAGCCTCACAGGTCCCTTGAGCCTCACAGGTCCCTAATATAAGTTCTTTGGAATATTCGAGTGAATGCATTGCAGTATGATAGAGTACAGCTGTATTCTCACATATCATATATTGCAATACCATCACCCTACAGCACTCACTTGAAACTGGATTTTCCTCTATGGAAAAGACAGTCCAGGAGGTGCATGATTGCTTCAGCGCTATGATAGCACAGTATCCCACAACACAAGGTATTGATGAAGCCTGGGGTGGGGTGAGGGAAACATGGGTTCAGATCTCCATTTAACGATGATGCTCAAATGGGTAGCTTTGTACAGACTGCCGTGGGTCAGCCTAACCATCAGCACAGAGTGACGGTGCTTGGGACCTGTGCTGCCAGGTTACTGGGGTGGAAGACTGGGATTCATCAACTGGCTCCAACTAATTGCTTGGGCTCCAACTAATTGCTGACTCCTGCCTTCACCCCTCCTCAGTCAGACTAGACTTCTTTTTTTCTTTTCTTTTCTGGCCTTCTCCTGTATTATGTAGCAGCCAGAAACAGGAAGGAGGAAGCAGCACACAGCCAGTTCTTGGCGGGCTGGGTAGGAGCCCCCCAGGGGCCAGATGTGGCTCATGGGCCACATGTTTGACAGCCCCACTGTAGCTTCTCTAGGCAGGTCTATGGCAACTGGGGGCTGAATAGCCCTGTCTCATGGTGGAGCATCAGATTAGACGGTTTATATTACAAAAATCGTGCACCAGGCTCACCAGCAAGTAAAAAGTACAGAGGAGACTGTGTTTTGGGTCCATCTGCCAGTGCTAAAATACTAGTTCAAAAGATTAGGCGGCCAATGTGTCAGTGTTGTTGATTTCCCACACAAAGTGGCAAGGACAGCTTTACGCAAGATAGATTTCTTACATGACAGTTATTTCTGGGAAGGCAATTTCCTGGAACCTGTCTATGCCTGATGACATCATATTCACATTTCACCATGTGTATGCATAGGTGAAGCCCTGGCTAGTGGCCACATGTAAAAAACTGCATGTGTACTCATAGGGATGGTGTTGGAGTGCACATGATTTCCCATGCAAAAGTCACATCCATCTCAAATATTTGTTTGTTTTGTGAACAAACTCCTATCCATGCAAGAACCACAGCATACATACAAGTACCAATAAACTAAACTCAACATCACTTTTGGAAAATAGGGCTCAGTTCAGAAAGGCTATGGAACGTGTCCACGTTCAGTATTATATCCAAGAACAGAATGTCTGTTTTCATTAACTGACTAATCCAATTACTTAGTTCTCACTCTATTGTCTTCCTCTGTTGCATTATCTGGGATTATTTAAAAGAGGCAGTTATACCAAGGTAAATCCCTGAGCATTCATACAAGATATTCCTTGATTATCCTAGATCAATTCATGCAGAATAAAAAACACTCTTTTGCTTGCAAGCACAATTCAAAATAGCCACTCAATCTGTAGGTGCATTTGCAAGATAATTTGAAGTGGATTAATGTGGTTTATTTAAAACATCCTAAATCATTGTAAAACCTGTTTCCCAACAGAGCTCTAGGAGACCTCATGTGTCGATATTTCATGTAATGGAGCTCCTATTAATTGGCATTTTGTTTTCAGTACTTTGGAGCTTACTGGTCAATCCTGTTAATTGTTTGATAGAATATACATTTGACTTCATGCATTTTATATTATTTTAATAAAAGTCATGTAGAAGAGCAATAGAAGGCAAGAGGGACAAACTGTATTTGAGAGACCATCTGTTTTTATGGAGATTTGTGCCCTGTCCTTCAGTAATAATGTGAAGAAATCAACAGATCTTCAATATGGTAATTCAGTGATAGGGAAAGCATAGCTATTTGATTTTCTCCTCTTCTTCAGCTCTTTAAATGCACTATCAATAAAAAGGTTACATACAAGCTTTAAGATCTCCAGAGCAGCAGCTTGAAACCATGTGCCTTTTTATTATTTTATTATATTATATTATTATAAATAAAACTCTGGGAGAGTGCCCCAACCTTGGGGCACTCAGCATCAATTTGCTGTGGTGACCTCAGCAGGGTATAATGCCACAGAGTCCACCATTTTCTCCAGAGGAACTGATCTCTGCTACCTGAACAGCAGTTGTAATTCTGAGTGATCTGCAACCCCCACCTGGAGATTGGCAACAATGGTTCTCCAGGAGGAAATAGCTGGTTTGGAGGGTGGGGTCTATGGCATTGTACCTGTCTGAGGTCCCACCCCTTCCTCAAACCTCACCCTCTCCAGGCTCCATCCCTCAAATCTCCAGGAATTTCCCAACCTGGAGCTGGGAACCCTAGTCAGGACTGGCCCCAATGAGTTCCCCACAAAGGCCTGGAAAGGGCTTCATTCCTTTGTCTTTTTACTGACAGAACCAAGCTTGGTTGCCTAGCAACAGCCACTGAGGGAAAAATTAGTCCCACAGGAGCCAAGCAGAAGTGTCGTCAGGAGAGATAGCTGTTTGGCAGTTCTGACAGGTACCAGTGGCTGAGGTGGCTGTGGGCGGGGAAGAGGAGCGGACCCAGCACCCAGCCAATGGCGTGTGATTACTCTTGAGTGGCGGTTGATGGGCCAATGGCTGATGGAGCACACAGCATAGCCAGTGGGAGAGCTGGAAATGGCCAATTAAGGGAATTATTATTAAAGATACTGTTCACAGTTTGGCCTGGTCTAAAGATGCATCAGAAGGGGGTAGAATTCTGAAGAGATAAAATAGGGTATTTGACTTTAGAATGTAAGGGGGGAGAGCTGTTATTTAATGTTCCCCCTTATGGGGAAAAATCCTGCAGATATAATATTAGCACATCATGGAGAAAGGTTCTAGCTCAGCCCTTCACATGCTGTCCTAGTTTTCCACTTACAGGACATTATTAATACTGAGGCACTTTGAACAATGTAATCTGTCACCTACTGACTGAAGTGGAACAGTTAACTCTAGTGCAGTGTACCCTG